CCCCAAAACCCCAAAACCCCAAAACCCCAAAACCCCGGGGTATATAGCTCAAATTGAACATAATTCTTTCGATGATAAGTATGAATTTTCAGTTTCAGTTTTGGTTTTAACACGTTCCAAAATCGAAGAAGTTCATTGTCGGGTCTTGCTTTACTTCTTCCTTGCTGCTACTGCTCTTTTGGGTCTATTTGTTAGGGAGAAAACTTACAGCTGTTGAATAGTTTTGACCACCAGAGGAGGGTTGCCTAGTTTCAACGCCGAATGCATCAGCTCAATCAAACCAGCTATCAGTACTGTTCACTTGAGAATTATTTTTGTTCAAAACCTCCAAAATCAAACATATTTTCTGTTTTAAGTGTGGTGTGTTGGGAAGTCTGCTTGCCCCAATCAGCCCAACCTGTTGAAGCTGGTGGTGGCACCTGTGGAGGTTTCATTGACGAACCTATGCTTTAGAAAATTATTCATTACTGTGCTTGAGATGAACTGGTTTTTCAAATCCTGAAGAAAAATCATCGTTTGAAAATTGCTTCTGGAAAGGATCCTCATCAAAACCTAGCAGATCTGCCTGCATATCAGTGTATTTCATATTTTTAGCATGAGATATAGCTTCTTGTTTGGATTTAATTTTGAAAGCATCATCGTTTAGAGGGATTTCATCGAATTCCTTCCAATTTTCGAGAATATCAATGATCTTATTGATGTCAGGTCTCTTTCTGGGATCTGGAGTGAGCATTAGCCTTATAAGGTCTCTAAGTTTTGTTCCAATTCTTTCATGATCTTCATCTGGGATGTAGTAATGAGCATTTACAATAGCTAGTTTTTGTGCTTCTTGGAATGGGTGTTTTGCAAAGCAAAGAGTGAATAAAACTCACCCGAGCATCCAAATATCAACTTGAGTTCCTACTGGGTATTTTTGGTATTGATCAATCATTTCAGGAGGTCTGTACATGAGAGTGGTATATTTTTCAAATAGTTCCATCTTTTCAGCAATAACTCTTTTGCTATTTGATTCATAATCAAGAGTATCAGTCGAACAAGAACCAAAATCTGCTAATTTGAAATGTTCACCTTTCATAAGAATATTCTCTACTTTCACATCTCTATGAGCTATTGGAGGAGAATGTTCATGCATGACTTTCATCCCTTGAGCAATTTGATTCATAACATAAATAATTTGCTCCTCAATAAGTTTGAGCTTATGTCTCTGAAGGAGGTCAATCAAAGTGCCACCATCTCAGTACTCACACAAAATAATTACTTGCTTGCTATCGTCATTGTACTCCTCGATATGGCCGAGATAACTACAAATATTGTCGCTAGGCTCCAGCTCCGACCAGAGACCTACCTCCCTTCTGACAGCCTCTTGGTTTATGCTATCTTGGACCATGATTTTCTTCAAAGCGTATTTCTTATCGTAATTGTCCTTCTCATGAGCAAGATAGACATATCCGTAGCCTCCTTCTGAGATAATGTCCTCTTGGCCGATATTTATCCCAGAGATGGTGTAGTTCTTGGTCGGTTTGAGCTGCTTTACAAAAGTTATGATGTTCTTTAGAGGTCCTGAATCCACAGCTTGGTTGAAATAATCAAACATGTTTCAATATTAGTAATAATATATGGGGTTTTGGGGTTTTGGGGTTTTGGGGTTTTGGGGTTTTGGGG